GACTCCAGTCAGCCAACAGGTGAAAAGGAGGAACCCAGACCCAGACCAGTGGTCATTCCATATGTTGAGGGAGTATCAGAGAAACTGAGACGTTTATTGTCCAAACATAACGTCCCAGTGGCTTTTAAACCCCAAAATACATTACGGCAAAGACTGGTTCATCCCAAAGATCCAGTCCCCCGGCACAAACAGAGTAATGTTGTGTATGCTGTTCAGTGTCAGGAGGGCTGTGATCAGTCTTACATCGGGGAAACTAAACAGCCACTGGCCAAAAGGATGGCCCAGCACAGAAGATCAACATCATCAGGCCAGGTCTCTGCGGTCTACACTCATCTCCAGGCCAGCGGTCACTCTTTCAAGGATGAAGATGTTCACATCCTGGACAGAGAGGAACGATGGTTTGAGAGAGGAGTAAAGGAGGCCATCTTTGTGAAAAGAAATCGTCCATCATTAAACAGGGGTGGAGGCCTCCGGGTTCACCTGTCCCCCTCTTACAATGCTGTGATTGCTAGTATCACTCAGCCCTCTGTGAATAGTAAACAGCCATCAGTGTGCTAATGATCCATTGTTAGGCTGATGGTCCTCCATCATGCAAACAACTAGTTCTGGATGTAACCAACAAACTGGTTGATCCTCTATGAGAAGGTGCCATTTATAAGACTGAGTTTGTTGAATCTCCTCAGACTGAAGAAGACTTTTGGATAAGATGAAACATTTCAACAATAAGAATCCGTCCAGAGGACCTGACTCAACCTAGTTAGATTTATCTACCTGGATTACTGAGCAGCATCAGGATATAACTGTTGCAGTCATTTACTACTATTTTTATTAGAAAAAGCAAAAGAAACATTGGGATCACTCATTTGAGGAAAATATTTTGTAATCTCTGTAATTTGCAGTTTTAAACCAAACATTTGCATCAGATTAAATCTGCTAACTAGTTAAATAATGTAGATCACAATAACTTCTTGTAACAAACACACGCATGCACACACATAAAAACACTGGTAAAATGATTATCGCTCAGAGTTTGTCTTTCAACATTGGACGATAACCAAAATTTAAGTTTTAGTTCTGCTTAAAAACACATATTACATAACCACAACTAGAGACAATATCAGTTTGTAAACAGAGCCAGCAGTTAAAAACAGAATTTTAAAGTTGAAATAGTTTTACGTTTAGTCACAAATGGAGAGATAATGAAATCTGTATGTGGGGGAACTCCCGCTGGTTGTTTCCTCAAGGTGTTAAAGTGTGTGAAAAACAGTGCCATCAAAATGCTGTCCAACCAGCACAAGCCACAGTTGAAGGCATGCCACTTGCACCACATTCATATTTCAGACATGTGCACCATACCTGAGCATGACCACATTCTCAAGAAACAAGTAATACTGTACCTCCTTGAGCTTGTTCTTCACTACAAACCAATCAGGTAACAGCTAATTCCCACATTTAAGTGAACTTGTATGACCTGCAGTCATTGTGAGAAGTAAAAACCTTTTTAACAAGATTACCAAATATGGCACATTATATGCCTGTCAGCAAACTATTACACAGCAATATAGCAATTTATAGCAATGGCTCGGACAAGCAAAGACATTATATAACATCTGGCCTTGATTTGTGACCTTGACCTTAGAGCTGGGGTGATAAAAAAGATCATGTTACACTCTGTGTAGTGGTGGTACACACATGTACCAAGCTTTGTTAAATTACCTTGAACTGATCAGACGTTATGGCCAGGACAAGAAAACCTTGGATTGTGACCGATTTGAGACCTTGGCTTTAGAGCAGGGGCGGTGAAAAGTGTGTGTGACTCTCCTTCTCCCGATGATGCGTAAGTGTATGAAGGTTCGTTAAATTATCTTGAGCGGATCAGAAGTTGTGGGCGAAAAAAAGAAAAGTTTATATCCATACGAATAGACAGACGGAGACTATACCATATTAAGTTAGACTTTCGACAAGTGTAAAGCCATCCTGACTAGGGCTGAACAATTAATTGCATTTGCAATAATATCGCAATGTGATAAAACGAGACTTTATAATCGCAAAGGCTGCAATTTGACTGGTCACTGATCTGGTTACGTGACTTGCGAGTGAGCGGAGCGGAGCAGAGCAGGGAGTGAGAGAAGTCAACACTGCACTTTAACCGGTTGTACATTGGTGTCAGGCTCGACACAAGCCGACACGTCTGAAAGTTTGGTGCCAAAGAGGCAGCACGTCCGTTGTTTGGAATTATTTTGGCTATAAAAGAGAAGACGCTGAGCAACATGTATTGTGCAGAACCTGCCTTGCTGCTGCTGCTACCTCCCGAGGTAACACCACAAATCTTTATCAACACTTAAAAAACACCACAAAGCCATTTATGATGGTTACATGACTAGAATACCAACGACCAGTGCTTCAACTTAAAGTAAGCAAAGTACCAGATGACAAGGATCACTGACCGAACTATTTGAAGGTATTACTCTGTATGAGCATAATTCGAAACGGCACGTGAAAATAACTCGAGCAATAACAGAGTTCATAGTGAAAGACATGATGCCCATTAATACAGTGACCACGCCTGGGTTTACGGCTTTGGTAAACACAGTGGATAAGCGGTACAGAATGCTCTCACGCACACATTTTAGCCAAGTCGCAATCCTGGAGCTATAAAAAAATGCAGAAACAGAGTTGCAGCGGAGCTGAAAACAGCTGAAACAGATTGATTTATTGCTTGTGTTCATTGAAAAATACGTGAGAAGAAGACATAGAAAAATAATCGCATATTAAATTGCAATCGCAATATTGAGGTAAAAAAAATCGCAATGAGAAAATTTTCCAAAACCGTTCAGCCCTAGTCTTGACACATACGATTTGTAACTGGAAAAAAGGTGCCTTTTCTTTTTACCATGACCATTTCTGACCCTAACAAAGCAAACTTAAATAAAACTAAAGCTTTAATGTCTTTAAGCCTGATCAGGCTGAGTGAGGTCAGGCATAAAGGTATCAGTTTATTTCTCATTAAAGAAACACCTGCTATTAAGTGAAAGCAGTGGAGTAAGAAGGTGCAATAATTAATGTTTAAGAATGTAAAGAACTGTTTGGTTACTCTGCAGCACTGTATATAAACACATTATATTTTATGGAGGTCTGGTGATCTACCTGTGCACTCCGGGGCTTGTAGGGTGAGCTGCTCTCCAGGTCTTCCAAGATGCTGGTGAGTGAGTCGATCTCTGCATCCAGACTGGAGCGCCTCTCTTCCAGGGTCTTCTCAGGTCCTTTAATCTAGAAGAAAACATCAAAGACAGTGGATTTAGTGGATATCCATACCGCGTCACGTTTTACACATTATGCAGTGTTTTTTTTCCTAAACGTTTTTCGTGTCCTTTACATTTTTAAGAATGCTGTTGTTCTCTTATATAAAGCATTCTGTTGTTTACAACCTTTACAACCCCATCGTAAAGGTTTGATTGATGTAGAGCTGCTGAAATACTGTCCTTCCAATGAGTTCTTCCATCTCTGAAGTCAGCAGTTCTGTTACAGTGAGCATGGAGTATCACTCTGCCACAACAACGGATCTTAGTGGATCATGTAAGTGTGCTAGACGATTGCTAAATAATCTATTTCTTTTTGGATATTTTGTGAAGGCAGCGACTAGGACAGCAACAAGTCTAAACTAATTTCCTCAAGGGTACAAAAAGATTTATTGTACCATATTATAATGAACTATAATGAATTGTATCTTATTGTTGTTCTTTCTGCTGCTCCCTTCAGCAGGGGTCGCCACGGTGAGCAAATCTGAATGGAATATTTGGTCATTGTTTTTCCCTGAATGCTGTTCCTCCAGTCACTCTCTCACTCACACCTAGGGACAATTTAAAGTTACCAAACTAACATGCACGTTTTTGGTCAGTGGGAGGAAACTGGAGTACCCAGAGAAAACCCACGCATGCACGGAGAGAACATGCAAACTCCACCCAGGAAGGCTCCCAGCCAGGATTCGATACAGCAAAACTTCTTGCTGAGAGGGGGCAGCTCTACCAACCGTGCCACCCTTATTTTTCTTGTCCTTTTAATTAACTCACATTAAAACAAAACAACAAATATTACATCCAACTTCTTAGTATGTTGTTGTAGTATTCCATAGCACTTGACTTTCTACATTCAATAGTGCCGAGCTAAACCACCCTCTGAAGAACACAAGAAAGGAAAGTTAGCTTTAGAGGGTTAAATGGCCTTTACAAGATGCTCTACATTTAATGTCAGAACTTCAACAATAACGAGTCGCTCTGCCTCTGTTCTGCTCAAAGACATTCTCCCCTGAGACTTTCCACACTTAAACTTAGGATTACAGTTTTCTAAGTTCACATTCCACCTTGACCTCAGACAATCCTTTTGAAAGCTGCACATCAATAGCAGAGACTTCTCAGGAAGAAGTGCAGTGAGAAATAAGAAGTGTATTGTTTGAAAGGCAGTGTTCAGGACACGGTGAACTATTCACCTCCTCCACGTTTCTCACTTAAAGAAACTGGCCCACATGACACGATTTAAATGATTGTGTTGTTATTCACCTCCTGCTTTTTTTTCCTGCTTTCAGATTTAGACACCCTCCCCCCCAAAAATACTTATTCAGAATCTCATCAAGGAGGATTTTAAATAAAACTGGATAAAGTGCATTTCCTGCTAAATGCAGTGTGAATGCTTACTGTTGAATGAGTGTTGCTCAAAGCTGCTGAAGAAGTTGAAACCAGCTTGGAAAGGTTTCACTGATTAATTGTTAATGGGAGTGGAATTTGAACAGATGACATTTGCTGAAAGCATAAAAATAAAGCAGAAAACAGGAGAGAAATGGCAGAAATGTGTAGAAAAAGCTGAGCAGGGCAGGAATGTAGCAGAAATTAGCAGAATAAGCTGAAATTGGCAGAGGCGCTGCTACAAAAACCCCTGAAATGAACTAAAACAAGTAGAAGCTGAAAAGTTGAAATTAGCAGAAAGAGGCTGAAACTGTCAGCCTTATTGTCATGGAAACAAGATAATTTTATTTCTTCATTTCTTATTACAGTAGTCCCTCGCAACTTCACGGTTCGACTTTTGCGAACTCGCTCTGTTGCGGTTTTTCAAAGTAAGTTTGGACATGACACACAGTTGGCTGATTGATAGATGAGCCACACAATCAGCATGGATTTTTATTTAAAATAAATTATTTAGCACCTGTGTGAAGCCTACAGGTGCAGGGAGAAGAATGTCATCTACGCTCTGCCGCTTAGAAGTGGGCGTGGCCGAGAGCACCGGCAGGTGGCAGTGAAATTTGAGATAATTGCATGCTGTGCTCATTTAGAGCGTTGTGGGTTTAGAATTTTTCTTTAGAATATTGCAAGAGTGTGGGTAGGGTTGAAAACTAGGGTTGAGACTTCAATGATGTTGATTTGTGTTCTCTTTATCCCTCTCTCTCTCCTCTATTCCTATCTCCTTCTTTACATTTTAACCCTTCTCTCACTTTTCTGCTTTATCTTCTTTGTTTTTCGTCCCCGTGTCCATTACATCTGGAACAAACCCAAAGCATATTCTAATAAAATTTAATTTATATATCAAGTGGAACATTAATGCCAGCCATAATGCTCTGCTTGTGAAAGTAAATATGTTGGTCATCACTTTGACACTCAGACAATAATTCTGTGTCACAATGCCGGACAGGACAAGGGGGAAAAAAAAAAAGAGAGATTCCCAAAACAATCAGTTGTAGACTTCATCAGATTTATTACAAAGCTTTGGAGAACAGCCAGCAATCACAGAAGATCAATGCACTGACACGTACAAACTTATGAATGCCTTCGCCTATCTGAGGTTCTGACCCATTCTGAACTTCCTAAAATAATTTGTTAGTTTACAGAATCATCCAGGTGCCAGCCTTTCCCCCCTCACTCTGTTGTGCTGTCCCAGCTGCACACAGTGAAATGTCAGGGTGTTGGTTGTGGGAGATGAAACACTTCTCAAAGACTTGGAAAACATGTCTCTGTATCATATCAATATCATATCTATCAAATTTTGAAGATAATTAAAAATGATTGCTTGCTGTCTCCGTACTGATCGGTCACATCAAGACTGATTATTAACTATAGTAAGGATCATTGAACATTTTAATATAATTCACAATAACAGTAAAAAAGCAGAGCACAAATACACATTGCCTCAACATATATAATGCGTACAAGCAAATAAGGCAAAAATTAGCTAGAAAAATGGCTTAAGTTAGATGAAAAGCAGAAAAGAGTTTAATTTAACATAAAGTGGTTGAAACTAGCATAAAAAAAAATCTAAAATTAGCTGAACAAGAACAAAAGCTTAAATGAGCAGTAAAAAGTTATAAAAAGTGCAAAGTGTTTGAAGGATGTGGAGAGCTCCATTCATTTTCCATGAGGAAAACGTGGCTGAAAAAGATACATTTTTAAAATGTAAAAATTGCGCAAATACCAAAAGTCACAGCAGGAGTGTCCTGAATGAGCTGAATGTTTTGATACAGTATTCCCTCACTTATCGCGGGGGTTATATTCCAGACACTCCCACGATTTGTGAAAATCCACGAAGTAGGGATGTTATATTTATTTTAGTATATATATATATATATATATATATATATATATTAGGAATGCGCGATATATACGGTACACGGTAGAAACGATACAAATTTAGCCAACGATAGAGATCTGTCTTCTACTGGCTAACCGCAGTAATGCTGTGTATGAAGTAAAATCAGAGTTGTCAGTTTAATCGTTACTTTTGTTTGTTGAAAACTGTGCATAAGTGGTGTTCAAGGGTAAAATCAGAGCTGTCAGATTTAATCATTACTTTTTTTGAGCTGAAAACTGCGAAAGTGGCATTAAAGTATTTTCTTCGAGAGCTAAGTAGCGATGCTACAAGCTAACTACAGCCGGATTGCCGTAGTGTTGCCGTATTCTGACGAATGTGCAAAACGCTGTGTTCTGTTGAAAGGTTTTTTTTTTTTTCATCGAAAGTTAAAGTAAGCGTTGGTCAGCTTTAGAGAAACCTGCTCTCTAATCTGTGAAAAGAACGCTGTGTTGTGTTTTACTGCGAGACCCTCTGGTCAAAGCCACAGACTCATTTTGTGTCAGCTCTCCATTAAAGCAGAAGGAGTCGCCCTCTAGAGGTTTGGAGGGTGAAGTGTTTCAGTGTAAAATGCTGCTCTGTTGCTGTTCATTTATAAAGTGAGAAGAATGGAAACTGTTAAGAGTTAACAACATATTTTTTGGTTTAAAACATATGGCTAAAACTACATTTGACATCTTTTGCACTGTTTTGAACTACAAGAAAGAAGCCTAATACTTGATTTGTTTATTATTTAAAAACTCTCTGGACTTAGCAGTGGAATTTTCTTAATTCAAAATATATGATGGCAAAAGGACACCCTATGCTTTTTTTTTTTAGCAAATTTTATACAAAAACATATCGCGATATATATCGTTATCGCCACCCTTCACAATACATATCGTGATATGAATTTTATGCCATATCGCACATTCCTAATATATATATATATATATATATATATATATATATATATATATATATATATATATATATAAAGGTTTTATAAACCCTTCCTACACTCTTGCAATGTTCTTAGCAATGTTCTAAACTCTCTAAATGCTCTAAAAGTGCAGGCAGACTGATGCTATGGTTATTGAGCCAATCAGTACCCAGGGGCAGACTGGCCATCGGGAGCACTGGGACATTTCCCAATGGCCTGGCCTGCTCAGTGATTGCCGAGGGGGACTAACGGCTTGGTTCGAGTTGCGATTATTTTAATAAACAATCCATGCCGCTCACTCTGGTATACTCACTGAAGCCCTCACAGCATTGATGGGGAAAGACAGACGCCGCCCCCTCCTTTCTCTTTCTGAGCTGTCTGTCACAACAGAGAAGACACACAAAAGGCAGGCACGCAGCCTGTTTTGTGTCTCTGTTCTGCTGTGACTGACAGCATCAGAAGGAGAAAGGAGGCGGCTCCTCGGCAATCACTGAGTGGGCCAGGCCACCGGGAAATGTCCTGGTACTCCCGATGGCCAGTCTGCCCCTCAACACAATGCTCTGGTTGGTCGTCTTCCATCAATCAGCCAATCGTGTATTGTGTACAATCTTAGGTTGAAAACCCGAGAAAGAGTATTCCACGAAGGTCGAACCACAACGTATCGAGGGACCACTGTACATGAATTGTTGAAATTGAGCAAAAATTGTGGAACAAGTCGCACACTGAAAAACGTACAGAA